ATGACAGAGTTTGAAAATCAGTATAAAGTGTGTATGGAACTGATAAAACAAAAATCAAAAGAAGTATCGGAAACGGATATACTATTAACTGCAATGAAAGACCTATTACAAAAGTTGGAAGAAGAAGAAAAGAAAATAGAGGCGCTAAAGAAGAAAATGAAATGCCCTTGCTTCAGTTTTACTACTTTACATTGTTGTCCAGTATCATTGTTTTAATAATTAATAATATTATTAAGATATTATTAACTATCTCCTATTTCAAAGCGTTGTTCAAAATTAATGAAAAACATATTACTAACATCTTTAGCATTGGTGTTTATGTAGAAGAAGGAGTAAGGAGCAAAATTCACGGCTTTCTGATACATTTCATATAACGTGCTTTTATCCACCAAGGCGGAATTCTCTTCTAAAAATGCGTTGACTTCGTTCATATTCTTCAGTCTGAAGATGAATAAAGCACTGGCATTTAATCTAATGATCGGGGCCAATACATTATACTTCTGTGTGGATAAAATGCACGAGATGGCATTATGACGACCTCTCGTAAATAATCCGTGCAACAAGCTTGAGTATCTTACAAATTTGGGATCGTCGGCAAAATCGTCCACCACTAACAGAATGCTAAATAAATCCTTTTGTTTATTCTTCTTCTGAAAATCAATGACTTTATGCTGAGTGTCTATGATCTTCTTTAGCGCCACCGGATCGTAGTCCTCGTAATAAAGCTGTTCTTTTTCGGCATCCACCTTCATTACATCCTTTATGTATTTCTTTACTGCCGACCATGCGTCATCAACATGAACACTGGGCGAGAAGATGTATATTCTCTCAAATGATCCCCTGTAGATTTTTAATATTAGGTTCTGGATCAATACCGTTTTACCGCCTGTTGAAGAAGCCACGCATAACATCCGCGCGGGTAGCTTCGGCATCATGTCAAACTCGCTGTTTTTATATTTATATTCGGGTATGTCTATCGGTTCTACTTTAGGTATTTCTTCACTCATTAATTAATAAGAGAAAAATATCTTTTAATATAATAATGGAGAAGTATATAGAAACGATTGAGGAGATTGAGGAAATTGAGAAGATTGTAATACAAGATACCAAGCTTAAAAGGTGTTGCACCGCTTCTTTAGAATTGCTTAAAGCAGTTCTTGAGTATTTAAAAAATCTAAGAAAGTATAATGAGCGACAATCATAGGGAAACTAATGAAGGTGGGTTCCACTTAAACACGGATGGATTAAACTGTTTACCTTGTAAATGTAGAAAAAAAACTTTTCACAAAGAAACTAAAATAAACAATGAAGGTAAAACAATAATTGAAGATAGGAGTAGTTGGAAGATGGGAAGGGGAATATCCCCCGATGAAAACGCCATATTCAAAACAAGCTCACCAGATAATGAAGGTGTTGATACAGTGACCACCGGGTGGGGATCAAGAAAGCCTACGCCAGAAGAGAGACTAGAAAAAGTGGAGGAGGAGGTAGAACGGATAGACAAAGATGTAACTATTTTGAAGAATAATTTAAATATTATGGATTAAAATCTCGTGTATATTGACAGGCCATCTTGGCATAAAAAAGCCCCAATGAAAACAGAAGAAGGAAGTGAGCCAATGCCCCCGTGCGCCTAGCAGGTTCTACAGGTTCATAGGCAAACCATAAGAGTTTGGTAATGACATTAATTCGTAATTTGTTTCGTTAAATCTCAAGGTAAAAATATTGGTATAAATAGTTGTATTTACAACAATATTCTAACATATAATATTAAAAATGCCAATAAAAGTAGATAAGATATTAGTTGATTTTGAATCATATACTGAAACAAATAATGTTGTTACTAGGAAGTGTTATCGTTGTAAACAAGTCAAAGACATTGATTGTTTCAAGCGTTGCTATTGTGCTGGTAAGCATTCTTATTGTTATGTTAAATACATTGCGACTTGTTCTGAATGTTTAGATAAGTCTGTCAAACAATAGTGGTCCAGTAAATCTTAAGAGTATAATTTTTCTAGGGAAAATGACTTAAAGAAAAAACCTACTATAATAATAGAATGATGAATTGGCAACTAGAAGGAGCAACCACACCACAAGACATTATTCAACTTGTAACTGAAAACCCACTACCACCAAGTGGAGACAAATTTTGGAGGAAAGTAGCATATAATTTATGGCGAGTTCACATACCAGATGAAAAAACAGTTCAGAGTAAATTTGAACTTTTTTGGCACAGTATTTGTTTAAGAGACGAAGACGGAATTATTGAACTGTATAAAAACATTAGTAGTCTTGAAAAAATTAAGGCAGTAGGAGAAAAGTTTAACGAACACAGTGGTATGGATTCACTGTATGTGAATATCTGTATTTTAAGAGAAGCAATTAAGACAATTACGGACGACAGAGATTTGAGAAAAACAATATTCGAAACAATACTTCATGTATGGAAGGACAACGGAATTTGGACAAATGAAGAATAAGCATTTGAAACCAACAACAGCATAGTTATAATGTAATTATAATACATCAGCAGTTATATATTATAATTACAATGTAGTTTTAACCCTTAACCCTAAACCCTGAACCAAATTATACGAGAACCCCCTTGCCTATTTAGGCCAATAATGCCACCTTAGAGATAATAGATGGGGTAACGGTTATTCCTAGAATAGTATTGATAATGGGGAAGTAGTAGTGATATATCGGTGAAATGTAGGGGGGATCCTAGGAATGATCATCTAATGGGTTGGCGGTGGCATTATTAGCCTAAATAGGCAAGGTACACTCTAACTCTTTCTCCCCTAATAGACCACGTCGCCCAAGACCACAATGGGCAGAGTCGTGTCTTACAGAAGCAGCCCAGCGCATTGACTTTGTGACATCAGATGCGCCGCCATCCCATGCGGATATACATAACGAATTCTTCTCCATTCCGACATTTTCACAGATTCAAACTTCAGAGTGCGCATGGAACTGCTTCTCTCGTCAGAATGGATAGCACTCTTCTGTACAGGAAGGTAGCTGTGCCCTGCGCTCTCGAACAAAGTGCTCATGGCTTTCATCCTTTGTATTTATCTTGATGAAAGCTTGCTTAACGGCTGGAGTCTGGTTCCTCTCTGGCATCTCGGCATTTTCCTTTCACCGAATTTGACGCTTTGATTCGTTGGTGTTCGCCATGATTATCGAAAAGTGCCGAACCGCACTGAATCGTCATCGATACTTCCATATTGGTGGTTGAAGATGAGCAGGACAGCTTGTATTGTTTTGTTGTTACACCGAGGCCAAAATCATGGCATTGAAAGGGTGTGTTCACGCAGAAGAGGTTTACGTAAACAAATTCATTTCAGGTTTAGACTTGAAGTTTGTAATCGTATCGTGTGGCACTCAGTTTCTTGTTTAGTTATTCAACGGGTCTGTTTTTGAAAGCAATGTCGTCAGCGCAGATGTGCAAGTCTTCGCAGAATCCACGTCGCGAAAAATCAAGTTGCCCTGAGGGCTTCGGTGCCAAGGTCAAAAATCGCCAGGAAGTCGCGAACCCGGGGGTTCAACCTTCCGAATCCCAGCCAGCCGGCTCGTCCGGGTTTTGCGCACTATTTTTCCGCAAACACTGATTCGGTGGGCATACCGGGTCGTATTATTTGTGGTGGGTGGCAAGACTTGAAATGCCGTGCGTGCCGTTTGAGACCCAATTTTGTGTTTGATTCCTGTTTGCTGCCTGGAGCGATGGCGGCTGTGGAACCGCTGCTTGACGATCATTTGCCTCGCTTCAACATCACAGTATGTTGCTTTGAGCTGCGATTTCAAGGTCGAAGTATCGTGGCTTTGATGCCACGCCCCCTGCTCAGGGGTTGTATGATCCGCGCAATGAGAAGGACCGACCACGAGTGCAAGACTGCAGTATGACAAGTTCCTTTGTTGGTGATGTCGAGTGCTGTCATGAAGCAGGACAGCTGTGGAGTTGGAATGGTAGCAGACATCACAGGAGCGCAATCCAGATTGGGCCGACGATTCATCAGCCGTCACGTGATGTTGCGTCCTGACCACCTCGACTGTTGACAGGCGCGCCGTCTCGGACAATTGTCGACGGAGCTCTGCAGGCATTTCGACACTATAAGTCAGCATCTTGAACGCGCGCATTGTCAGGACTGATCAATTTGTTCACGTCTGTGCAGAGAACAGGTGCTGGAAAATTTGGATCACAGAGGCGCTCGTGGCTGCGAGAAGGACGCCGATGCTGATTAATGCTGTTGGTGTCAGTTGCATGTCTTTTCTAGCAAGCCCTGTGTTGACTCCACTCCCAGGACACTGGCGACGGTGCTGGCATTTTGTGCGGCATTCCCGATCGATTCATGCGGCGTGTTGCGGCGGAATTGTCAGTGGAGCTGCCTCCTCCTCGTGAGCAGCATGGTTGCAATCGAGTGCAGGCAACATTCTGCCGCCAAGGCAGTTTCTACACTACCATTCCCTCCGGTGTAGTTGTGGAGCGCTTTTCTGGCTTGGATTCCATACCACTCGAGTAAGACAGCACACAGCAAGGTATGCAGTTGGCAACGTCTTTCTTGACCGCTGCGCAGCCTCAGCAGATAGCGGTGAGAGCAAGATTCGATCATGAAGCTCGGACGAGCCCGCAAAAAGCCGCCAAGATGTAACTCAGGCGAAGATGGAACTACGGAAGGCAAAAGGATCTTCGAGCAGCTGCTTGGTGCGGTTAGCTCACCGGAGCAGTGCTGGATGTCGCGTTCATGTGATGTTGGAGCAGCCACTGGAGTTTTCGTGGAGTTGTGTGTGTGTGTGTGTGCGTGTTTTACTGTCTTGCTTGATGTGCCGACGCTTTTCATAGACCGCCTTGCACGGACAGGCTGCGTGTGTTGCTCGCTAGTTGTTTCTTTCTCTCTCGGTCTTTTGCAGTTTCCCTCCCTAGCTCTCCTCCCTCTTGGAGCGACCGCAGATCGTAGCCGACACCTAGGGTATTGGCTTCAATTGATGGTCTCCGCATGATCACTTGGCGCCGGGTGCCGGTTGAATCGGAGTGCCTGGGCAAGACTGACACTTGCTTGCAGCTCAGCTGTTTTCCCACTGTGCTGCACGATGATACGGCTTTCACGGGAAAAAACGCATGGAGAAAACGAGAGTCCGAGTTTACTGCAGCATTGACTCTAATTCCTGAAGTTGCCGAGAGGCCAGAGATCACGAGCCGACCATCGAACAAGCGTTCATTGCTGCAGAAGGCAGCACGTGGGCGGTTCCGTTCGGATTAACTGGGCAGTTCTTCGCTTCATTTATCGTTTCGTTTGGAGGCGCTTTGAAGAAGGACGTGAAGAAATTCGAAGCAGCTCTTTTCGTTCTCCGGAAGCGTGCCGCCAACCTGGCTGCTCAACAGCCTGGGCTTCCCTTCTACGCATCTGGGCCGAATTAGACGAAAGTGCTCTTTAGCACTTTGCTACTTTCTTCTCCAGAAGATCACAAACCATCTACCCGCCCTACAGGCCTTGCTTTTGAGCGGTGTGACACAGGTGTGCTCGCTGTCTCCGCGAATCATCAACTACAAGGGCATGCTCACATGTCCAGGCGGTGCAGACAGGGAAGCCGCTGCTAACTGCTAACGCTGGGTTTCCGTCCTCCATAGTCCTTGGACATGTGCACGCGCAGGTCTCGTCAGATATTTCCTGGACCTGCAAGAGGATGACTTCGAGTCTCACGTTGCGTCACTGGGCTTGGCCATGAATTGATTTGGAAACGAGTCTACCAGCGGAGGTGTTTGATTTGGTCATCTTCTGTGTCTTTCCCGACTAGGCTTTCTCCGACAAGTCTCTATCACTAAGGCTTGTTCATAGCCGATTCTCTACCAACACCTTCCCTGCGTGGAGACGTGCTCATCCATTCCGTCACATCTGCCACAATGGTGAAATCAACACGCTCAAAGGCAAGTCGTCGATTGCAATACGTGTTTTGAGGTAAGATTTGCCAGGAGTGCAGATTGGTTAGGTGGGGTTTGTCAGTTTGTCAAGCTCTCTTTGATACAGAACACAGGCTCAGAAAGCAGACATAAGCAGACGAAGTCGGGCATGCAGCGCATGCAGTGTCTTGAAAGTTCTACTGCTGCAAACTGCCAGCAGATGGCCTATTCTCAAACATTGCTTTCTCCGAGCGCTGCTTGCAGGAAATGTGAACTTTGCGCGAGCGCGTGAAGGATTGATGAAATCAGAGCTTCTGGGGCCTCAGCTGGAACAATGCTTTCCTTTGATGGAGCTGGTCCCATCCTCAGATGCAGATTGTGACGCCTATTCCACTAAACCGGGACATTGCTACACCTTACCACGAACATGGATGTCAAGGATCAGACGGACAGTGGAATTTTCGACAACTTCCTGGAAGTGCTGACAATTTCAGGTCGGCCATGCATTTGTATTCACATTCCTGTTGGTGCTCTGCCAGAGCAGTGATCTTGATTGTCCTTAGTTGTGCTGCCGGTGCAGAGCCTTTGAAGACGTATCTTCCGTTCCTGCGTCAGGACGAACACTGCCGGAGGCTGTGGCCATGATGATGCCACCTGCATGGGTTGCCCGGCTCCAGCAAAGCTCGCACGCCCGGGCAGACCATGTTTAAAGCTGAGGAAAATTTGGACTCCATGGACTCGAAGCTTCGAGACTACTACAAGTACCAAGCAGCCATCATGGAACCCTGGGATGGGCCAGCACTCGTCTGCTTCACGGATGGTGACGGTGTCGGACAGCTTTGTTTTGAGTTGGCTCAGTCGGATTGTCGTGTGGACTCAAGCCGACTTAGGCCAACGTAGAATCGAAGACTGTCAGAATCTGACACTTCAGGAGCTTCACTCGACAGAAATGGTCTCCGCCCATGCCGCTACTATGCAGCTCGCCCGCTTCCGTGATCCTTCCCTTCTGTCTGTTGTATTGCCATTTTCGGTCCGATGTCAGCTACCACGCTCGTTCCTTGGAGCAAGGTGACCAAAGACAACAAGCTAATCGTCTCTTCGGAGTGTGGTGTGCTGAAGCAGCCTGCAGACAGCATCGTCGCAAAGGGGCGCTTATCACCAGGCTGGGGCTCTTGAGTCGCAGGGTCTTCTCCATTCGTTTCTTGTCGCTTATCTTATGCATGTGACGATCTCTTGCAGGCAAGATGCTCTGGGCAGACTTCAGCAAGCATACCTTGACTCAGGCATTGCGCCACGCATGTAGCTGCGTATTCAACTGCATGGTCCAGTTTTCAATTGCAGCCTGGAGCTTGAGCGGCCTTCCAAGTCAGGACGGTGAGCTGAAGGCCCAGTTTGCTTCTGTCTTGCCATGGGGGGATTGGTTGAAGACCGAAGCGATGACTATGGAGACTTTGTCGCTTGGCGATAAGAACTGCAGGAAGAAGCATGCAATGGCTGCACTGCATCGGAGCATGTCTGAGGTTGAATGCAGGCTCTTCGACGCCTCCGTCAGTTCCTCAAGATCTGCGAGCACCACTTCTCCGTGCTTTCGGCTACACGCAGGCGAAAAATCAAGGCAGGTGTGTGCGGAGACGTCTTAAAGGGCTGCACCTGGCAGGAGTCGTTGGAGTTGCTGCTTCTTCCCATGGGAAAGGACACAATTTTTGCAAATTCGATTGCACAGAGTGTATAGCTAGTGGATAGCCTGCATCGACATTGTCAGAAATTGCTGGCTTCGTGGAGTGCTCTACTCTGGCAGGATGGGGAAGAAGCCCTGGGGAGTATGGGCAACGACACGCCATTGGCTTGCTTGTCTGAACAGAATCGTCCGGTCTTCGACTTCTTCTACCAACTTTTCGCACAGGTTCTCTGTGACTGTTTAAGCTCATCTGAACTCGTCGTGTAATTGACGCATGACCTACAAAATTTGCAACATTGGTTTGGTGCCAGTGTGTACCGTTGCTGTGCAGGTGACCAACCCGCCTATCGATCCGATTCGTGAGTCAGTCGTGATGTCGCTAGGCAGGGCACGGTTTCAGGTCGGTACATTCCAATGGAACCACTGATGCAGGATGCTGGGTCGGTCCCGAGACCAATGTGCTGGCCTCACCCAGCCCTCAGCACTGCCAGCGGTTGTGGTTGGACAAGCCATGCTTGCTTCCGGCCACCTGATTCGCACCAGCTCTGCGGAAACATCGCATGGGAGGGGGTGTTGGTGCGGTTCAGATTGATTGGCAGTCCGGCGAACAGGACGCTGGTTTTCTTCCCTCGTGCGGTCTACCGGCTGTTTTCAAACACAGTTCCAATTGCATGTCCATGTCATTTCAAGGTGGTGTAAAGCTGAGCCCATCTTCTTAATAGACAGCCCATTACTTCTGTTGCCTGCCATTTTATGACATTAAACTGCTATGCTTGCTAGCGGAAGCCTATGATCTTTTCGGCCGGGTGAACTAGCCATGGTTGTTGCTTGTTCATCAGTCCCACATGCCACAGTGGTGTCTTCATGCTTGGGAGGCACATCAGAAGGCTCATGCTTGTTCAGCAACCCTGCTAATCTGTAGTTGGTTTTCTACTGGCCTTTTCTGCAGAGGCTGGAGCACTCCGGCTCGGATAGTGTTGTTGCAGAGCTAAGGCTGAGATGGCCGCCTTATCCCGCACGACGGACCTCAAGGGTTGGAAGATCAAGTCCTGCGACACCACTTTCCCTGTCACCGAAGGCACTCTCAATGGTGCACGGAATCGATGCCTTGCAAGCTCCCCATAGGGGCAGATGCCGTCAGAACACGGTACGCCAGTGGAGTAAGCTGTTTGCAACAAGAGGTCTTTGGACAAGCAGGTGCCCTGATCCAACGAGCCTCGAACAGCTGATAATGCATCAACTTATGTATTTGCGGTCCTCCGAATTGAACTCGGCACTTGGCAATCTTTTCCCATCGAGCCGTGCCACGTCGATAAGGGAAGGGGCAGGGACTTGCGCATAGGAGTGCATCAGGCAGAGGCCACAAGGGGGATGCTGGAGAACCACAAATCATCAGTTCCGCTGTCATGACACTGCATGGAGGTGCAACTGGCATGGAGCACCACCTGGCCAGAGTGTGCAAGGAAGCGACGGCGGCTGCCAAGAACTTCAGCAGCAATGATTCATGGTGCTTCGTGATGAGTCATCTGCATGGGAAGTCATTCTGGCCTCAGGAATGGATTTCAAGTAATCGTCCTCTCAGACAGGCCGTCTGTGTAGTCGATCGCAAGAAGCCCCGCCAGCAGATTGCAGCTTCGTGTAACCTGATGTCGTACTTTGCAGTTCCTGAAGACTGGTAGTTGGCCACACAAGCCTCTTTTGCGTAAACCGTCGAGAACATGTGAAGTGTCGTGGGAGTGCTTGCCGCGCTTCAGGACTCTGCGAAGTTTAACATGGGAACATGTTACGGGATAGGTGGAAATTACAGATAGGACGAATGCTCCAATCAAACACACCTCGGTGGGCAAACGTGTTCGAGGAACATGCGCTATCTAGAATGGCAAGATTGATGGTTTGTTCTGGATCCGATCCAGCCGAGCTCGTCCTAAGTTGTCGTTTTCTCATACTTGTGCATCTTTGCGTGTCATCTTTCCACTTCTCACGTACACATCTGTTCACTGGCCAAACATGACTTTGCAAGCCTGTGGCCTATCGGAAGTGCTTTCAGCCTTCTTCGTGCGGCTGTGCCTGAAAATCCTGTCTGAAAGTATGGTTTCTGGAGACTCAAAAGGCTGTCTGAGTTGCGTTTGGCGGAGCCACAACTTGCTTCGGGAGTTCCAGCTCCAGGCTGCCCACTTTTACTGCCTGCAGCACTTCTGCTTGTAAGCTTGGTCACACAGATGTTGTTTTGGGTTGCTGTTCTTCTGTCAAGCTGCTCTTCTTAAAAGCCGAAGCTGGTGGTCTAAGCTGTGCATTCACGTGGCACGGCTCCGGCAGCTCCGGCAGGTCTTTATCTGAAAAGCATGCCCCAATGCCGTCGCTCCTGGTTAGCGGTGCCGTGCATCAAGCACTTGTGTCGGAGAAGCTCCGCACCAAGGCCGGATGTAAACAAGCATGCGAGCAGTTTATAGTTGCTTCAGCGTTGTCAGAGCCTTCAAGCCTTGGCAAGGTCGCGCTTGTGCTTGAGAGTGGAGAGCCCTTCGAAGTGGCACATCATGCAGCCCAGACGCAGACAGCTACATGCGCTTTGACATGTACACACATCTGTTGCAGCGATTCTGCATAAGCGGCATGTTTGTGAGCGAGCTGTACTTGTGTGTGAATGAAGCGTTTGTGTATGTATGTATTGTATGCACACACACGTGCACCCGTTGTGTGTATGTGTATGACTCATGTGCATACATATGTACACATGCTACATGTGTGTATATATATATATAGTTTTCATTGGTTGCTTATATACTTGGTTGTGTGAGGTAACAGTATATACACACACGCACGCATTGATATAGCTACAGGCACATGCATATGACATGTGAATGCACGTGCATATGTATATATATATATATATAGATGTGTCTATGTGTACCTGCTTCTTAAGAACCTTTATGTACAGACCTGTACGTATCGACATATGCGTACATATAGATATACACAGACACACGCTTTATCTAATATGAGACTGTGTAGGTGGCTACATACAAGTATACCTACATACATACTTACATACATACATACTCACATACATTATACATACACATAAGTATACATAAAACTACTTACACCTGCACATATACATGCATATACATGTGTGCATATACATGTGCACATACACACACATATCCATATCCATATACATATACATGTACATATGTGTACATGCATACATACATACATACATACATACATACATACATACATACATACGTACATAGCTGCATCATGCTGTCTTCCGGCCCACCTCCTGTGGTATGGGTAGATACGTGGATGAATAGGTTCGTGTGAAATGCTGAAGAAGTCTGGCTGTTGAAAAGAATTTTCAACTTAATGTTAATGTTTCACTCCACATGAACTGATGTCATGGTGCTTGATGCCGCACGCCTAAACAGCGTATTTTGATATGTATGTATATATATATATATATGTATGTAAGCATCTCGGCTACAGTGAGACCGGAACCCCCGGTAGGATAGCTGCTCCGCCTTCCTGGCGGCCCAGTTCATAGGCAGCCGTGTTCAAGGGAAATACAACAATTTCCGGCTCTGCCTGACGAACTGAAGACTTTATGCCTTGGAGGGCACTGGGCCCGTTGTGGGCCCTTGCTGCATTCTGGGCGACAGCCATATGGCACGACAAGGCCTTCGAGGACACAACAAGGTCCCAGCCTCGCCGGCGAGAGAGTATTCAAGAGAACTCTGCCAGAGGCAGCAATTGCGACTGCATTTTCGGACGTTCTTGGGTCAATGCATGTGCCAAGAAGCTAGAGGCTGGTTGTCTGACCCGGATTATTTCAATGCCTGGGATGTTAAGTGGATCGACGGACATCCATGCACTCTGCTTACAGCCGCCAGACTGTCAGCCTACCCTCCGCACGAAGCAGCCCTACAAAAATGGTGCCCCTTGTACTACCCGAGCCTCCACAGTACCCTGTGGCCCTTCTACCTCGACCCTCTCTGCCTGGGACACATCGACCTGCACAGCCTGGACTGAACCAGGCGGGATCGGGCTCCCCGGGCCTGCTTTCCTGCCCGGCATGTGTGCAGGGAAGCGACATCGCCTTTGGCGCTTTCGCTACGAGAGCCGTGGAGTCAGGCATCGCCCTCGGCGCCGGAAGCCAGCCCCAAGAAAATTTTGGTGGCTAGCTCCCCCGTGCAGGCTACGGTCGGCCTACATGCGGATTGCACAGTGCCCCCTCCGAATTGTCTTAGAAGCGCTTGGTCAGCTCTGCCCTGCACTGCTTAGTCACATGTTGCCCATCTCGCTTGATTTCTCAGCATGGGCTCACAGCCGAAGCGGTGAAGTCTGTACCTCCCAGGCCAACGAGGCCAGCATGAGTGGCTCCGACAGGGAGGCAGAGAATCGCGAGGACTCCCCTGCCATCCTTGACTACCAGTCCGATGGACCCACAGACACGGAGCAAGGTGGGCCGCCACGAGGACCTCCACCCCCACTTCCTGTACAAGCTTTGCAGGGGTGGGCCCACCTTGTGGCACGTGCCGTGGCCAATGCCTTGGCTGGGGCCACTGGCTTCGATGGCAGAGTCTTGGCGCATGTGCCATGGGACCTCGATCGCCTGGACGACATAACGGTGCAAGTGAGGCACCTGACACCGGTGGACCAGCTTCACACCAATTGTCTTGGACTGCCGCACCACCCTCACCGAGGATGATGAGCTCCTGGCCAGCACGGGCAGCGAAGATGCGGCCAGAGTCACCAGAGCGACAGCTGCAGCGGTTGCCGAAGCGGACCGGGCTGCCGACAGAGACTGGGAGGCCTTGATGGAGGATCTTGCAATTTTGCCAGAGGCTCCGGGCCATGAAATCAGTCCAGCATGGGCAGCAAGATCGTCGGCTCTAAGCACCTCGGCCCCTCCGGTCCCGACGCCGGCCTTGCCGACACCGACGACAACCACAACGACAGGATTGCCCAGCAGAACTATGCCGATGGCCTTCAGGTCCTCCCGGTCCTCTGGGTCCACGAACCTCGCCACACCGAAGCCCAAGGCCTCAAGGAGCAACCGCAAGCACGGGCCTTACCTTGACAGCTCCGGTAGACCAAGCCAGGTTTTGTCAAGACAACATACTCCCCCTTTGCAGCCCACTTGGCATGAGACCTCAGGCGAGAGAGGGAGTCATGAGCCCGCGGCACTGAGAGCGGGATGTCAAGGGAGCACCAGGGTAAGCCGAGGCTTATTTGCCAAGGTGGTTTTGTCCCAACGACCACACGGTGTGCAAGTTGAAAAACATACTGCGTCCTCAAGACCGATTGCCTGCACTGCTACCTGCGATCCCACCACTACCTCCCGGCTATCCAGGTACTGTATGACCTCGCTATGGACAGCAAGGCCGGTGACTCTACTCTTTGAGTACATCACCCTCGGCGCAGTCTTTGAGTTGCTCCTTGCACTCCTGGCCAGGTCCTTCCTCGTTCTGTACCATGACAAGCAGAAGACGCAGACGAAGGCCCCAACGGCACACCGCCTCTGCAATGACCCCCTCGAACCGTTGGAGGTGCATGGCTACGGGCCCACGGCACCAACAGACCACACCTTAATGACATTCTCAGCTCGATGCAGCCGCCCGGGTCCCAAGTCCCGGGACCGCAGTCAAACAGCAAGCGCTCGAAGCCACACACTCTTTCTTGTCTTGCTGATTACAATGCAGATCATTCATCAGACAGCTGCGGTAGATGCGAGGGTTAGACCTTCCCAGCACCTTGGAGGTCTTGAAGCCAACCAGCAGTACTCAACAACCCAAAGTTGGGCGAAGCCGATTGGTGACCAGCGCAATATCCAACGCTACCCCACCGTTTAGGAAGCGAGCATTTCTTCGAGCCCTTCAACGAGCACAACAGAATCCCGACGGAACTACGATCTATCGTGGCAGAAGGCTTCACTTGCAACAGTTGAGGCATCAACACCTGCCACCAACTCCCCAGACCAAGCAGGACTATACCGGCAGCCGCAAAGTGGCTCCTCGCCTCAAAGTTCTATCTTGGAATGCTGGAGGCTTGGGTAGTCATACTTACCTGGAAGTGCTCACATGGTTACATGATGAAGCAACCAAAGGCCGGCCCATAGACATCTGCATCCTGCAGGAGACAGCCTGGAAAGAAGACTTAGAGTTCACGACGAGCTCCCAGACCCCGGGATGGACCACTTGGCATGCTGTGCATACAGCAGGCCCTGCGAAATCTGGCCTACTTTGTCTCATCAGAGCCAGTTTGCTTCCCCCAGAGAACATCAGGACTTCTTGTCTCGTCCCTGGTCGCCTTCTACACCTACGGCTCCTCCTACAGGTACCGGTAGACATCCTTTGCCTATACCAGCACTCCTGGAACCCTCAGCGAACCACTTTACAGGGAACCAATAAGACAGAGGCACTCCTGAAGCAGCGAAGAGCGATCTGGACAAAGATTGATCGCTGGCTACGGTCGGTGCCTCAAAGACATGGTTGTCTTCTTGTTGGTGACTTCAATCTTTCCATCACCACCGAGCCCCCGATCAGTGGCACAGGCCTTCCGATGAGCTGTACGACACCACATCCGGACCAAGGCGAGCTGATGGATACCCTTCGCACCCATGGCTGTTGTGTTCTGAATACATGGGGCAAACCAGGCCACCTCAGCAGGACCTACCTGCTACCGCAATCCACCGATACCAAGCAGGGCACTCAGATTGACTTCATTGTGGACAACCTTTCCAAACAAGCTCGGCCAATCAACACGCCCTTTGTCCCAGGCAGTGGCTGCAGGCATAAGCCAATCGTTGCGTCTGTGCCTGTTCCTTGCTTCTACAGAAGACCGCCCACTACTTCGCGCCTTTCCCCGCCACAGGTGAGACGACTTCTCCAACAGCCACGTTTGGAGCACCAGCTCCACGACAATGTGGTCCAGGCCATGGCGTCTGCTACCACGGAAGACCACATAGACCACATCCTTATTCAGTCCTGGAGCAACACGGTCTCAGGCCGACGTGGAGAACAAGATCACCTTGACTCGACCAGAGCTGGCGACCTGGAGGGTACTCTCACTCAACAGGTCAGAACGATGTGGGTCCTACGTCAACAGCTTCGGAACCTCAGCCAGGACCTTCGACTCTGGGCCGGTGGCGGCCCCCGGGAGAAGAGCATCTTCCAGGCGTGGCGTGTGGCCGCCCAACTGCAGCTGCACACTCGTGCCCTCAGGAAAGCCTGTCGCCTCAAAAAGACCCTCAAGGTCGCGGAAACAGTGGCAGCCTCCAACATTCATCAGGCTGCCAAGCGCTTTGCCCCGAGGACACCCCGGCGCAGACTACAGCTTCGAAAACCCGATGGTAGCCTGCAGACGCACGAGGAGGAGTTCCAGCAGATTGTGCAGTACTTTACCAAGGTTATATATGACGGACCCCAGCCCCCTACGATGCCGAGGACTACCGCCGACCTACACATCCAATCGGAGGAGATCATGCAAGCCTTTGCCAGACTTCGGCCAGGCAAGGCCATGCCTACAAGTAGTCGC